TGAAGGGCCTCCGGCAATGGGCGCGGCTTGGACTAAAGTGCCAACAGTATCTGACGGAGGCCAAGCTCATTGCGGCCGGCCTGAGTTCGGGTAGGTTCCTTACTTGGAGGTTCTTATTTTGCTGTCTGGCTTTTTTCTGATGCCGAACTCTTTTTTGCTGGTGTGATGGACTCAGGAGGGACTCGTGGTGGGCGCTTGTTTCAAGGCATGAAGAGGAGGAAGCAAGTTGCCAAGCGAACTCGCTCCAAGCTGCCCTGGGATGCGAAGCCCGAGGTACCGGACTACCCGTCAGGGGATCCGCCCTAGGAGCCCGAGATGGCTCCTCTAATGCTAGAAGCGGCAGGGGGCCCGTATGCTGAGACTACTTACACGGGGGCTCTCACTTACTCTGGTGCTCCTTCAGGAGTGTGTTGTCGCCGACCTACACTCTTCAGAAGAGTAAGGAGGCCATTTTCCCCGAGGAGGTCGCGGCGTGGACTGATCTCCCTCTGCACTAGGTGGCCTGCCGTGCTGTTACTCATGCCATGGTGGTAAGTCAAGACTTTTTATCGAGCTCTTTTGCCTTTATCCTTCTTGCTGTCGTTCTTTTGATCACTCGTTCTTTTTGGTAGGTGAACTCTTCTATCCACGCCTTGGCGGCCCAGGTGGAAAGGAGCTCGAGGCAGGCACGAGCTGCTAAAGAGGCTCTTTGTGCTGCCGAGACGACTTCCTGAGCTGCTGAGGCGGCTTCCCGAGCTGCTGAGGCGGCTTCTCGTGCTACAGAGGCCAGGCAGGCGAGGTCTCAGAGAGATGCCGAGGCCATGGGAGTCGTAGTGAAGCATATGGCGGACCTGAGGCTGGATTTGCAGCATCAGGTCGAATACCTTCAGGAGGACATTAGGGAGAGGACACAGATCTTTTCTCAAGGTATTGAAGATGCCAAGAAAAAGGTTGTCGATGAGTACATCGCCTCGCCGAGCTTTGACGACCTGATGGTGGACCGAAGGGGTTTCAAGCTAAGCCGGTGGATGATCCGGAATACGTACCCCGAGCTCGATATTAGTGCCATATCCACTTCGCGCATAACTCTGGAGATGGTCAATGCTGCTGATGGTGAGCCAGATTTCGAGGGCGAGGCAAGGCCTTCGGGTATCGTTGAAGTGCCTTCTGATAATGAAGAAGTAGCTCCGGGCGTGTAAATTTTTTTTTTTTTTTGAAATGTACTACCTTACTTTGAAATGGAATGACTTTTCTTTTGGTTAAGTGTTGGTTGTTCTTTCTCCCGAACTGAACGTATTTGCCGAACTGACCATACGTCCGATCTGTTTCCTGCTCGGGTTGCCGTACTCGCGCGGCCTGTTTTGGTGGTCTTTGAGATGCTGATGTCCCTATTAGTTCGTTGTCTCCGTTTTGCCTTTGGCTTTCTTTGCTTGCCTGTGCTGAGGTTCCTTCGTTAGCTCGGCATTCTAGCCCTTAGGCTTTGGTGGCGATTTTATCCACTTTGCTTGGTGGTCTATAGGTAGTATCGCCTTAAGTTGACGATGTTCCATGCTCGGGGTAC